GGGGGGAAGTGAAACTCTAACTTTTAAAGCAGAGTTCTGCTGCCCCTTGCTGTAAATAACAAATAACTTGTTACATTTCTTGCCTCATCCACCACACCCCTAAGAACTGAGCCCTTTTAAATAAGAGGAAATAAACTTTTTTTTGTGTTGTGAAAAGAAAGTGTTGGTGTGAATCCCTGAATGAGAAAGGGGGGGGGGGGGGGTAGCAGAAATTACCTCAGGAACAAGAATCCTATTCTGCCTCCCCAGGTTTCCTCTGTAATAGCAGCATGTAATCCAGCACCATTACTTGTTAGCATAGCTACAGTCAGCTTGGTCACTGCCACTGGAAGGTGTGACAGGGTAGGTGGGGAGCTGAGAAAACACCTGGCCCCCACAGGAACTGAGCTGAACCTCTTCTCTTACTGCACACCGGATTGCCCTGTTACAATATGAGCCCTGTCTCGCTTACTCTTTTAAAAATTTTTTAGCAAAGCAGCAGCAAAATAGGATTTACTTATAAGTAACTAACTAGAATGGTTTTGCCTGAATAAGGCAACCGGCTGCAGGTGGACACTCTGATGTTTATTAAACACATTACTAAACTATACTTTATGTATTTATTATATTATTGATATGTTTACTGAAGAGCCCAAGGTGGTGTGCCCACAGCTCTCCATTCCGAGCAGGACTTCACTGGCGTCTATCAGATAAGAATGCAAAGATTACACGTTCAGTCGCTGAGTTCTGTGCATTGATTCTTAGATTGCGGGAGTCGCATTTTAAAAGTTTTTAAATTTAGATTTTATTCTGTATATTATCTCTCCCCCCCCCCTCTTTTTCATACTATGTTTGTATTGTATGCTGGTCTTAAGACCATAATAATAAAACTAAACTAAGCTCTCCATTCCTCCATATTGCAAGGAGACAGGGCGCTCTCTTCGGGCCATCATATTTTCTCTGCCTGAAATGGCCCTTTGAACCCCTATTTGCCCTGCTGGGGAAACTTACGTGTACTGATACACAACATGTAAGTTTCCAAAATAGGTAAACAGGGGCCCCAGAGACTGCTCCGGATGAGAAAACAGGGCATGCAGTGAACTAGGGGTGGCCAAACTGCGGCTCAGGAGCCACATGCAGTTCTTTCATACATATTGTGCAGCTCCCGGCAGGGCAGCTGGGGAAGTGAAGGGGAGACATGCTCCCCAATCAGTCTTCCTTTCCCCAGCTAGTGTTCTTCTCCCTCGGTAGGCTTGAGGTGGGGGGGGGGAGAGAAAGAAAGCCACTTTAACTTTAAATGCATTCTCAAAGTCTCCCCCCCCCACCGGCTGGACTGGAGGGGACTTGAAGGATGCATTTAAAGTTAAAGTGGCTTTCTTTCCACTCCTCCCTCCCCCCTCTATTTGATTTCCTTCCACTTGCTTTTATTTCCACCTTTTCCCCCTATCTCTCTATTTCTCCCCTCCCTCCCCATCTTACGTTAAATGTGTTTTCCAAGCCCCAACACAATGGCCAACTGGCTTAGTTTGCAGAAAGCTCTTGAAATCCCTTCTCCAAACCAAGCCGTCTTAAATCCCAAGCCAAACCGGCTGGTGCTGGTGGGAAACACATTTAAAGTTAAAGTTGCTTTCTTTCCGTGTCTTTCTTTCTTCTTACCTTTCTTTCTCTCTGTTTTTCCCTTCCTTCATTTCTCTCTCTCTCTCTCTTCATTCCTCCCTCTCCCTCATCTATTTTCTTTTTCTCTCTCCCCCTCCCCCCATTTGCTTTCTTTGTTTCTGTTTCTCTCTCTCTCTTTCCACCTCTTTCATTCTTTCCACTCTTCTCTCTTCCTTCCTTCCCCTTCCCTCCCCATCTATTTGTTTTCTTTATTTCTCTCTCTCTCTACCTTTTTCATTCTTACTTTCCAATGCTCTCTCTCTTAGACAAATAAATATCTTTGGCAAACAAATAAATATCATTGGACAAATAAATACCTGTTTTTACCTCTTTTGTTTTTATTTTTTGCAGTCTCATTTAATATTAATAAAAGGCAAATTTGCATATTTTCCAATTAAAACATGTGTGTAATATTTGTTCATGTCTTGTGGCTCTCAAACACCTGGTGTTTATTCTATGTGGCTCTTACATTAAGCAAGTTTGGCCACCCCTGCAGTGGACGGTGGGCAGGAGAGACCTCACAATATGAATCAGGCCCATGCATGACTGGGAATTAAATTCCAAGCACAGAACTCCCACTACACTGGACACGCAGGGGACACAAGGATTATGTAATGTGTGAATTAGTCCTGACTAACTTTGCTGCCACATACACCCAGACAACACACTCACTGGACCTAACAACTTCAACTTCACCATCTCAGGCTTATTCACATGCTCATCTTCTAACATTGCATATGCCACTAAATTCCAACAATGTTCTCTGGTTCTCTGCATAGGACAAACAGGACAGACCCTACGCCAAAGAATAAATGGACACAGATCTGACATCAAAAATCACAAGACTAAGAAATCTGTAGGAGAACACACTTCAGCCTTCCAGGACATTCAGTGGGTGACCTCAAAGTAGCTGGAACAGACTGGAAAGGAAAACTGCTGAATTACAAGTTATTACAACACTCAGAACAGCCCCCCCCCCAGACTTCAGGGATATTGGTTTCATATCTCACTACATATGCTAAATTCATTCATTCCTTACATCTGTATTCTCACCAAGAGGGCTATGCATCCTCTTTATTTTAGTGTATTTCTTATTTGGAATAGTAGATTAGAATAACGATCGTAATGTAATTCAATGAATTAGAATGGTATATTGGAATGCATTCCTCTGTTCTGGTAACAGAGGAGATATAACATGGCACCAAAAATGCTATTCGTTACCTCCATGCTTGAGAGGAGGCGGATGGAACCTGACAGCAGAGTCTCAGATGATTGCTCTTAGCACTCCACCATTTACACACCTATTGCCAATTTTGACATGTTTATTTGTCTCACTGTTTTCCCCGGAATTAAATCCAAACAATGATGACCTTATAAACTTAGCTTATTATTACTGTTTGCATCTGTTAAATCATTTCATTATATTGCATGCTAATTTGCTGTTCTACCTCTTCCTTATATGTTTGGACTAGTACATTCTATTTCACTGTGTTTGAGGAAGTGTGCATGTGCGTGCATAAGAAAGCTCATACCTTAAATAAAACTTTGTTGGTCTTAAAGGTGCCACCGGACTCAAACTTTGTTTTAACTTTCGATTGTTACAGGAATTTATGTTGCCCCTTGTCCTGATTTTTTCTTTCCCATTTCCTTTTCTTGACTAAACTTGTAAAAGCAATTTCAGCAATAGACTTACATGGATACACCAAAGTTTTCTTCTTCTAAAGTCTCCATTGCTGCTTTGTCACCTGTTTGACAAAAAAAAAGTATAAACACCTTGACTTGACAGTGGATGTTAGCCACCCTTCTTTCAATGCTCAAGGCTATCAGCAAACAATGGAGCTGATCCGGAAGTCTGATGTCAGTGATCCCCAGCAACCATTTGTGGGGAAGGGCCATGGCTCAATGGTAGAACAGCAGCTTTGTAGGCAGGGGGTCCCATGTTCAAACCCTGGCATCTACAGTTAAGAGGACCAGTTGATATGAAAGACCTCCAATTTGGCTCGGATCTGGTGCGGGAGGTTCTGGTTTGGAGAGAGCAAGACGCTGCTGCGCTCTGCTTATGTAGCTTTTTATTTATTTTATTACCACTGTTCTCTCTCTCTTTTCTGGCAGCTTATCTTCCTAATCTTGTAGTTTAACTGGGTCTCTATTTAGATGTGGAAGGGAGGGAAGGACTAAGGAACTTCCTGGGTTGTGTTTTGTCTATGCTCCGGTTTGCTATTTTACTTATCTATTTAGTATTCATTTTAACTTAAAAGACCTCATTAGTTCCTGGAGTAAGAAGAACTGTAGGAGGCAGTTAGTGTAGTGGTTTGGTGTAGTGGTTAAGTGTGCGGACTCTAATCTGGGAGAACCGGGTTTGATTCCCCACTCCTCCACTTGCACCTGCTGATGTGACCTTGGGTCAGTCACAAGCTCTGGCACAGCTGTTCTTGAGAAAGAGCAGTTTGTGTCAGAGTTCTCTCAGCCCCACCCACCTCACAGGGTGTCTGTTGTGGGGAGGGGAAGGGAAAGGAGTTTGTAAGCCGCTCTGAGACTCCAAGTGAAGGGCGGGGTATAAATCCAATCTCTTCTTCTCTCTTCTTCTTTTACAGCATTGGTATTTAGACTCCTTGGGACTTTATCTCATTATGTAGATAAGGCTAACACTGAACTTGTGGTTAATTGCTACATTGGTGTTATGTTGGAGTGGAGAGGGGTTGTTAGTAACTGAAAGACTGATTTTGATAGGAGGATTTATTCTGGTAGGGTGAGATTGTTTTACCACCATGTTTCTACATTTTCTATATTTTATACAAATTAGTAAGAATGCTAAATGAGGCTGATGCAGAGCTGTGTGACTTGGGAAACGAGAATGGAGAACTGTGGTGAGGAATTTATATACTGTGTGACTTGTCTTACTGATCCTTGTAAGGGATAGGTTTAATTAACTGCAACATTGTTGTGTATGTTTAAACTGCAGTTTTAACCAACGTGTTAATGATAGAATTAACTGATAGAGACCTTTTACAGTTTTATATTTCACTACAAATTGGTACCATATTTTGATTCCTGATTAAACATGGGAAAGAAGAGAGAATGTCTTTTTATGGACTCTTAACCAATTAGTAAGAGCAAATTAGATTACTATTTTGCTCTTGTTTCCCCATTAATAATGAATAAGGTTGCAGAACAGGAAAAGGGCATATTAGCATTGGAATGAAATATTGGAATGAAAAAAGATTATTTGTACTCACATTCCTCAAACTTTTTATTCAATACTGATATTGACACTGATATTGTAAATTTGAAAAAGAATATTGGTAGGAATGCTGAAAACCTAAAACACATAAAAGATTAGGAGATTTAACTCTATTGGCCATCAGACTTTACTACTTGCTGACACCTTAAATAAGATTTACTGTGAACTGGATGAACTTTCTTCCCAAATAAAATTTTTGATGAGTACAGAGGACGGGATTCACAAGGTTCAGTCAAAGATGAACTTATTAACTGGTAGACGTATGTAAGGAACCTTAATTTTTCCCTGGATCCATACAGAGTAGTATTAACAATCTCTCCTTTTAATTTTAGGAGGATTTGGTGGTTCCCAAGGTCATCAGCAAAAAAAATTGAGCATTTTGTTCAATTTACATTATAACTAAGGTGATTTGAAATTCATTGATAAATTTCCAAATCCTCATGGTAATGATCACTATTTGCTTCAATTTACTCACCAAGAATTCCTCATAGAATTATGTCACATATACCCTACTTGAATAGTTATGGAATATTTCCCACTAGATCCTACAAGCAAACCGAGGTTTTACCTTTACTACAACTGAAGAAGTCTGTCGAGCTTGCAAGCACCTCATATATAGGACTTACATCAAAGAACTTATTCGGAGGGGGTAAAAGAGTGAATTCTCCCCCACTGCCAACATGTAAAGTGGAATACAAGAACAGAGAAAGAGATCAATTACTCTCTATATAAGAAATAAAGGCTTTTCCTGAAAGTCATTAGCAAGTAGAACAAACAGAAAACGAACTATTGACTTCATTTAGACATTTTCCGCAGTCTGAGAAAGAGCATCTTATTACATGGCTACAGAGACTGTGTGAAACTCTCAAATATGACACTGATCCATCTTTTCAGATGAGGAACAGCACTACTTGCCACATTGATAATAATGGCACTGCTAAGGAGGGGTCCTCTCTTGATATTACAGTTACACCACAGACAATGCCAGTTAAATGATTAAGTAGCAAGCCTTTGACTGTGAGACCAGTACAGCTTTTGGATTCAGATGTGACACCCCAGAGATTATATCCCCTATTGACTGACAGGAGAGGGGAAGAGGGGGTTAGGTGCTCAACTGGAACCAAAGGAGGTGGAGTTTGCAGAGGAGGTGCAGCAACAAAATCCCCCAGACAATATTTCTGACCTACTCTGGCAGCCAGAATGATGCAATATTACATCTAAAAAGGAGAATATTATCATGGAATGTGGCAGGATGGACTAACAAGAGCGATGAGGCAAATATAACAGACTACCTCAGGAGTTTTGATATAATATTACAAGAGACCCAGTGGACTTCTGAATGTTTTCTTTCAGGCTTTAGGGACTACAGGCGGTCAGTGAGTGGTCATTTACCACTACATTTAATCCTCCAAATTCAGTAAGGTGATAATATGGGTATTAAATTTAATCCCCACACTGTTATTAGGGATTTTTGGCCACGTGCTCTTAGATGGACAGATGAAATATCAAATAACACAGCTGAGACATATCTAACTATAGCATGTGCCCAGTTAAAAGACGGAATTAAGTTTTCATCCTCTATTAATTGGTTTATTTATTAATTGGTTTATTCATGTTATTTCATCCATGTTACACTAAGTTGTTTTGGCACTAGAGAAATTACCCACTGAAAGTGGTTTAATGAAGACTGGCGTACACTGAAATGTGCAATGCGTTATGCTTTCTGGCAATTTAGGAAGTCCAATGCCTGGGGAAATGTGGATATCTTACTTTGAAGCAAGAGTAAAAAAGTCTCATTAAGGAATCCAAGAGAATGGCACAGTTTGAAAGCTGGCATAATTCAATTCATTTGATAGAGACAAAAAAATACAACTTTCTGGTCCTTGATATCTAATGGACTTAATAAACCTTGACCTTTAGTTTTTCATATGTCCTCAATGGTTTGGGAAGAATTTTATAGGGATTTGTATAACGCCACCTCGGAGGGCCTTGGAATGTCTGAAATTAATCAGGAAGGTTTGCCAATTTGGCCATCACTAACCAAGAATGAAATATGTGGACTGATTCAGTTCCCCCCTTGTGGTAAAGCACTGGGGAATGACTACATTCCCAGTGATTTGTTTAAATCAAATCCAGAGCGGTGGGCAGATATACTACCTCTTATCTTTATTCAGGTTAATAGGA